GTTTAAGAGCTCTAAACTGAACTGACTGATAAGACGAGAGCTCTAAACTGACACTGAACTGACTGCCAAGCAATCAGTCAGTCAGTCAGTCTCATCAGTTTGGATTGATTGTTAGCAACTCTGTGCTGCCCCTAGACAGATATGTATATCCCTTTTGATTGAAGAACCCGATCATCGAGTTCTTGAGTTTCTGACGAAGATTCTAAAATATCTTTGAGTAAACTGATGTGCTGCGAGATTGGCTTTCCCACAAACTTTGGCAATGCAAATACTGGAAAAACCCTCTTTAAGCAAGATTCTCATAACGAAGAGCATTGAAAATACTTTGAAATCTTAGACATGTACAGTACTTTTTGTCGATTCTCCAGGCTCTTTTTACCGACGAATAAGAATGATGACCCATAGACAAAGGATGCAAGATTGAAGGCGGGGAAATACATGAGACCAAGAAACGATCGGTATAGGATGTCAAACGATCACGTTAATGATATCCCGCTAAGGAAGAGGTGGCAAAGAGGCGGTAGAACTGCAGCCGTTACAGAAATCTCGCCAATAGACACAACTAAGGGAATAGTAACGACAGCAAGGGATAAGAAGACCAGGATCTAAGAATAGACAGGTCTCTCTAATACACTCGTTGTGATGAACTCCGATAGTTATATATCTGGTCTAGATTGATAGCTTGTTCTTCGTCGCTACTAGAGAGAACCTTTCCATGCTTCCCACTGCATTTGACCTATGAAAATCCTCAGTTACCCAAGAAAATATCGAGCAACGAGCCGTATTCGATGGGGTCTTCGAAGAGTTGACCATGGGCTGAATCAGGGAATACAATCAACTTGGCGGAAGGCAGCTGCTGCGAAAGGACAAAGCTATTACCAGTCCCCATCAATCTGTCTGTATGGCCATTAGTTACCAGTACTGGCGCGTCAATCCTGTTGAGTCCCTCATAACGCTTGGAATCAGCCGAAAACTTGCCGATAGCGACTCCTTGTGCTCCCACCCCCACTCCAACCAAGAAATCCTTCCTCTCTTCACCTTCCACATTGCGTTCGAAGGCCCGCTGCCACCATCCTCTGCCCTTAGCGAGACTAGTGTTTGAAGGATAGAAGAAAACTCCAAGCATGTAGTCTTCAGTTGGAGCTCGGTCTGGTTCCCCACCGGGACCCTGAGCAGCGTTTCGATCCGTCTCAAACACGTCCGGTCCAGCACCAGGTCCCACTCCGGCTAATACCAGCTTGTTCACTAGCTGAGGATAGTCCATACCGATGGCTTGAGCTATGTAGCCGCCCATGGAAAACCCAAGGATATCAGCTTTCGTTACGTTGATAGCAGAAAGGAAGTCCACAGTCGTGTCTGTCATAGCCTCAATAGAGTCGGGAACAGTGCCGTCGCTGTGACCAATCCCAACGTTATCGTAGATGATGACCTGGCGATTTTGCGCAATAGTATTGATAAGCAGAGGATCAGTAGTATCCATGCTCCCGCGGAAGTGGGTTATGTAGACAAGGGGAGTCTCCGATGGTTTGCCAATCTTGCGGTAGGCAATCTGAGTGCCGTTCACACAGATGAACTCGGTCACAGCAGTTTGGGCTGAAAGGTTTGAGCGATCCCCGAAGATGTCGTATCCTGTCGGGCTGTCAAGAAAGATATCAGCATAAGATTTGCAAGCGTCCAAGTATCACGAGACTTACTGGGGAGCCGCCGAAGCTGTAATAGCGGAGGCGGCCACGAGGAGTGGGGCGTGGACTTTCATATCCTCAATTCCTGAAATAAATGCGATTGTGCAGTGATTGCTTTCAGAGTAGGTTATTGCAATTGTGGCAGTGGAACACACCAGATAATGTGGGTTCGCATGGCTTATATGTTGTGAACAAGATGGCGTGTGCATCGATCTCTGTTAATGCTTACAATGCAATTACTGTCTTGATCCGAGCAGATTATACACAGCATGTCAGACTCGGCATTCGACGATCTACTTCTGGGGCAGGAGCCACTGGATGCACCACGCGGAGCCATTAGCATACATGCTACGGATAGGTAGCTTATCAATCAGTCCGAAAGAACAAGTAACAGTGAATATCAGTAAGCATACGCTTCAACGAGGTAGTGATATAACTATCAAGTTTCCTATGGGAACATGATTGCCCTTTGCAATACGTATGAAGCAGGGATAACCCTGGACACATAGCGGCTTGGAACCTTTGGATTGTTCGTCGTTACGTTTCGCGAGACATAATTGGCAATGGCTAAACCGTGAGCAAAGAGATCCGCAATTTCAATTGGCGTGATGCTATCCAAAAGAATTTCAGTGTGCTCATTCACTAAAATTTGAATCCATGGCTGCATAATGAGATGGAAAGTCAGGGTCTGAGTACTAATGCAGATCACAGATCCGTACGCCAAGCAAACATGCAAAAGTGTTAAGTGATTACGGTGAATACACTAAATGTAGAGGCGAGTTACACATCTTTACGACTAATCAATAAACATAAGCAAAAGTCGCACCGATTACAAGGCCCTCGTTAGTGTAGAGTGATTAGTGAACGAAGAAGAACGCTAATGATTCTAGCTGGAGAACATCGCTGAGTCATGGATAACAACATCAAGTTCTCTTTCATATTTTACCAATACTTGGCTGGACATGGAGTTTCAGCCTTGTTTATTCTGTAAGTCTATGCGCATGGCTTACAGTAGAGAGTCAGAATAGACTGTAAGATTACTCAGAAGAAGCCACAGGAACAAGGACGAAGGAACGATGGACCGAGAATTTGGGAGTAGCTGGACAGGCGCGAAGGAGGCCAGATAGAAGAGGATTATACAGACCCTAAGTGACTCTAAAACTGTGGATGTACTCCAATCAGATAAACCCCTTCTATCCGTCTGATACACCCTTTAATGACCTTATCATATCAAAGAAAGCTGCAGGACTATCACTAAACTGGTTCTAAATTAAAGTGGTTGCCAATCGAGGTGCTACGTGAAGCACGCTACCGACTTGCTGTAACGTGTCGTTAAATGTACACAATTTCAAAGCAACGCCTCGTCAAAAATCATCAAAACATTCACGACGAAAGATTTGTCGAATTTAGTGGTGCGTACCTAACTGCTTGCTTTGCTCCACAATCCAAAGGACAGCGTGAACTTCATAGTGGCGTAGAAGCACTTCGACAACATGCTGATCGAGCACCGCCTGCTTCGCCAGTATACTAACCCTAAACTAGAAACCGAGATGCATGTAAGGTCAATGCAGGATAGGCCATGTGCTACCTATAAGGACCATTGGCTTCGCAATATCGAACCCGATGCGATTCTCAATGTTTGCCTCCAAAGTTTGCACAGGAACTTATATGTTTACCCAGAAATTCAGCTTTTGCAGTGCAGTGAGTGCTTTGACATGAATGTCTACACGAATCCCATATCGAGCAAGCTAAAATCACAAATATCAGCTAGAAGGACTCTTAAAATATTTCGAATAGTTCTATCTGCCATTACATACGTCTCGCTGGATTTCCTCGCTCAATCTCTCTATTGTGGGTCTAGTATTCTGTCCGGTCAATTTTCTAGACCCCGCAGAAAGTCATGCAAATGCCTGTTTACATCTCTTGCAGCCTCGGCTTGCATGAAGTGCCTTGTAGGAGCAGTTCGAACGGTCAGGTAAGGAAGGTACGGTGTAGTTTGGTTTAGTTGGAGATTTGGAATTGCCAGAGGGTCGTTGTCGCCAACGATGAACAAGGAGCGCTTAGTGACCGTAGGGTCAATCGAAGCCATCAGGGCTGGTGAGAGTTAGTAAAGTATGTCAGCAAGGGGGGAGGGAGTAGAGAGAGACAAAAACAAACTATCAAGGAAGCAGATTCAGGAAAGCGCGCATCCACTCACCTTGTTCATCAGCAGTGTTGTAACCACGCATCATAGCACGATACCACTTGAATGAACCCTCCATACCACCCTGGGCGAGCATAATAGTGCGCCACTGATCAAGAGTGACTTCGGTAAGAAATTCATTGTAGAAGAAAATACGACCATCGGCAAGCAGCCATTGCTCCAGGGCGCCTGGCTCACTGATGTTACGCACATAGTTGACGTCAGCGCCGTAAGCGATATTGTATAGAGCATCAAGCTAAACATGCAAGATAGAAATTAGCTTTCTGTTCTCATCGTGTGTACTCTGAGGGGTCCGTTCCAGTTACTCGGTTCTTTCCTTCATCGGGTGAGGGCTAGAGGGGTTGAAGATGTTCTACTTACGTGCTGGTCGGCAATAGCAGGAGCACGGTCCTCAGCGTTGAAGTGCCAATACTGGAGAAGAGGATATCCGAATAAGGCACGTGAAGCCTCATCGCTGGCGTCTATCGTTGCGCTGGTGAAGTCGGTTCCAGGCGGGGAGTATCCTAAGGTGAGAAAGGCCAGAGCGCTCAGGCGGTCAGGATAATAGTTTTCTATACGCGATAACTGGCCGGAGCCACTATATGGTGGTAGATTCATTAGTTGTTGCTTGGAGACGGAATATTGCATGCTCTTCACGGTGTCACATACATATCATGGCCCACGCCTACAACCCGACCAACACCTTCGCACTCGAGCAATTCGACCATCTCGGAAGCTGTTCGTTTGAAGGTGAATGATTCCAGGTCTTCAGGGTTGTCGGTTCCACCAGTTCCCAGCATGTCGGGCGCGACGATGCCGTAGCCATGTCGGGTAAAGTATTCGATTTGATTTACCCACGAGTAGGATGTTTCAGGCCAGCCGTGGAGAAAAAGAAGTGTAGGCATAGATGAGTTGAATGGCGTTTTGAAAACATAGCGGTATCTATGGCCTGAAGAGAGTCGTGCGCTTTTCACAAGGTTCGCGTAGCTAGTGAAGCGGATGTCGTCCTGGAAGAAGTAAACAGCTGATCAGTTTTGCACCGGACGAAGCTGGGCATGATAGCTCACAATATTGGGGTTCATATCAATCTCGCATAATGAACTTTGGTTGGTTGGACGAGCCTTCTTGAGTTAGTGGAAAGGTTGTCGATGGTGTCGGTAGCACCTTACTAGTGCAAGATTGGCCATTCCGAGAGACAGCCAGAGGATATTCGGGAGCATCATATTGTTGGATAGGAATTCGTAGTGTAAGAAGTTCTGAAGATGGGGCATGATGATTGTAAGAATGCGTATGATGAAACCTTTTATGTCCTCATTTATAGGTCATCACACAACGCAAATACATTACGAATCTACCTAGGTAGTCTTAGCACACCAAGGTGCCAGGGGTCCCTTTCGAATTGACACTTATAAATCTCCGCAAACGCGACCGCGTAATTGTATATTATCTAACCATCATTCGTCATGACTTGCTGCTGAGTGATACTTCTCTAATGTTCTTGGTAGTTCACTAATCATACTGGCTTTCGTAGCTGGGCTACATTCCAACATCTGTTTTCGATGCATGATCCGTGAGTAGTTGACGTAGCATCACACCAAACGCTAGCTACCTCCTTTCTACGTCCCATGTCTGTAGGAATCTGGCACAGCTGTTGCTCGACCATCTTGACGTAAATTGTCTTGCTGTAAATGTGTAATAACGATCTAGTGCATTTCGCTAATCGCGATAGAAATGGCGCTGACAAACAAAGGTCAGAGCGTAATTTCACCCTGAAGATTAACCAAAATGATGCACAACTCTCTGCTGTTCTAGGTTTCAGTTAGGTATCTAGCCACAATTCAGTGCTTACGCGGCTTGGCAACTACCCTAATAAGAAAGATCCGCCAACCCCTACCAAGCCTCAAGGCTCATGACTGATTAGTCACCGAGCACCGATGTTTGCTGTAATTACTAAACATACCTCCTAACGTGCTCCATCGGTCATCCGCTCTATCAAACCCGACGCGACGCTTCTACACAACAACAACAATGCTACAACACCGCCGCACTCTTTTATCTCAAAAATAAGGCAGAGTCTACTCCGCATCTGGGTAGTTTTCAAGAAAGCAATTTAGAAGCCGTCGAGAGATGCGAAGCTATTTGATGTCCCTCGTTCTACCCTATGCGACTGTCTTCGAGGTAGCTAGCTTCAAGCTATTGTTAATGCCGAGAACAGGAAGCTGTTCCGTATTGAGGAGCGGTCTCTCTCGCAGTGGATCTAAGACGCAGATCGACAAGGCTCTCCGCCCCAGGTTATTGTTGTACGACATACAGCAAACACTCTACTCAATGGCCCCGGCCAAGATCCACCTCCCGCATCTGTGGGCTTGAACTATGTGTCCCACTTCGTCAAGAGCTAGTCTAAGCTACAGAACAAGGATTAGATTAGAACTACCAGGGAAGGCTAGGTTGTACTAGGCACATGCATTGCAGACTAAGAATTGTGAGTGCTGGGCACGTCTACCAAGCTCTGGTAGTAGCGATCAGATCAGGCAAGATCACTCGCAGAATTATCTGTGCAGTCTGTGCACGTTCGGCATCCCACCGTCGGCATCCCACCCTCTTGCTTTCGACTTACGTTACCTGTGATTAGTAACACTTTGTTAGGCATTAAGTCATGAACTAAGCCTTGAAAAGAGCAACAATCACTAATCCGAGATTTGTCAGTCAGCGGAAACAGAACTCCAGCGACCACGTCTATACAAATGTATACGCATACATATATAAAAATCATGAGGCTACTCATTGAAGAGATATCAAACCAGCCTCACTGTCATACAAAATTCACATTCCCATTCTGGGTTTCCGACTTATTTTCATCTCCACGAATTTTAATCTTGCATCAATGGATTCATATAAGAAGATTTTGATCATTGGCGTAAGTGCTTTACTCAATCTGAAAACATAGACGCTGTTCCACAAACACATTGTACAAACAGAGTACTAACTGTTGTATGTATTAGGCGGGAGGTGCTTTGGGTATCCCAATATTGAACGAATTCCTGGATTCAGCCTATGAAGTGAGCGTTCTTAGTCGCAAAGAGTCTACT